GTGATTAACAAAAGTAATACAGATGGGATAAGTCGGAAAAGAAAAATAGGGAAGAAATTTTAGATCTTTGAATATGATATTATAGGTATTATAATAACATCTAAATAAGGAAAAGAAAATCAGTTAAAAGAACAGCGACATTGCCTTATTGATGTCCGCACCTAATGACAGTGGACCCTACTATCCTTCCTAGAATCCCGTGTCGGTCAAATTTTCTTAAGTTTGACTAACTTTATACAAAAGAGTAATAACATCTATAATGTAAAATGGGCACATTATGAAAATATATTCTATGGTATATCTAATAATACTTTTGACTTAAGACAACTCTAAAAGTCTATTTATTTAGGGACAGATGGAGTACATGCATGTTGGTAGTGCATCTATGCAAAGTGGAAATTTTAGAGGATAATTGATATTTGTGGGGATAATTTGCATAGTGGGATAAAGATGTGATCAAAGATAAGTCATGGATGAATGACTATAGTGTGAAGTTATGATCCGACACTCTAAGGTACCGTTTGGTTGGTAAAAACAACTTACCACGCTATAGAATAGTCATGTGAGATGTTTTTTAAGCAATCTGATTTAGTACCACAACTATGTTATGCCGCACTTTCGTAGTATCATGTCCTAGAAATCATTCTCTTACCAGATTCTACCATAAATTTGGCTTTGATTTTGCTCATCACACATTTGTCGCATCCATAATTTGCCTAAATGTTCATCGTGATAAACTTCAGCACCAACCAAATATATACACCCTAAAATTGTCACATAACGTGGCCTCCTGATAAGAGATCTTTATATAGCAACATAAATGACTTTAGTGGCCGCAATTTTTATATTGTTACTACCTTAAGTATATATTATAAAAATATATTCGATGATATATCTAGCATTTTATTTTATTTTGGAACAGAATGAATATAACTGAGATAGGATAAAGAAAATTCAGTTAAAAGAATAGCGCCTTTACCTTACTGCTGCCCGCCGAATGACAGTGGACCCCACTGTCAGAGCATACCTTCGAGCCCCTTCCAGAACCTTCCCCGCCGGCCCAACCCAAGTGCCCAACACTCCTCCGGCGCGAGCGGACCATCCACTTCGCACTGACCAAGCGGACCCGCCCATACCGGGCCCACACGTCATAGAGACTCACCCGACCAGACCCCCGTGCTCCCCAGCAGCACGCGCCGTCACCGCACCACTCCACCGTTCCGTCTTCCAAGCCTCCAACTCCAAGTATAAACCCCGCGGCCCCAAACCCTAGCCGCCCGATGCTCTTCGTCCCGCGCCAAGTCGCACTCGCCGCCTCCTCCTCACAGCCCCGCGCCGCCGCCGCCGCATCCGCCATGGCCAAGGAGGAGCCCAAGAAGGAGAAGAAGAGCAAGAGAAAGGCGGCAGCGGCAGCGGCTGCCAATGGAGCCGCCGCCCCCGGCGCGAGGGCCGCGGTGGTCGCCTCCGTCGCCGCCTTCCTCGAGTCCGCCGGGCTCCCGCACACCCTCGCCGCCCTCCAGTCCGAGGCCGGCCTCGAGGTAACTGCGGTCGTCACCCTCTCCCCTGTACTGTGCGTTTGTGGTGTTACGTTTTTGGTGCGCTGTCGCTGAGGCGCCGGATTGGGGAATTTCTGGTCCCAGGCCGGAGCCTGGGGGTCGTCGCAGGTGAACTTGGAGGAGCTGGTTGCCAAATTCCTGGAGTCGAGGTACTAAATCGAATTAGCATTTACCTTTGTCACATTGCTTCAATTGGTGAATGGTGTGTGCTGTTAGTGCAATATGATCGGTTCCTGAAGCAAATTTGGTTGTGGAACAGCAATTCAACTCTGGCGGCTGACGTCCTGGGAAGCAATGAGCAAGGTAGGATCTTTGTTTGTTCAAATTGGTGTTGTTTGCCTTTGATTGACACCTTTGTTTACTTTGGATTCATGCTGACCTGAATTTTCTAGTGCAGATAAGGAAAATGGTGATATAGCAGGAGAAGTTAGCAAGAAAAAGAAGAGAAGTGGCGCAGAAGCTGATGAGCCCGAGAGCAAGGCGAGTGAGCCTTCAGCTGAGGAAAAGCTGAGTGAAAATATGGGCGATGAGGCCAAGGAGAAGAAACAAAAGAAGAAGAAGAAGAAGGACAAGGCTGACCCTTCAGCTGCGAATGCTGCTAGCGGTGAAGCAACTGAAACAGTGAAGAACGATGACCAGAAGCTTGATGTGGACGGTGAGGCCAAAGAGAAGAAACAGAAGAAGAAGGACAAGGGTGACCCTTCAGCTGCGGATGCTGTTAGCGGTGAGGCAACTGAAACAGTGAAGAGCGATGACCAGAAGCTTGATGTGGACGGTGAGGCCAAAGATAAGAAACAGAAGAAGAAGAAGAAGAAGGACAAGGGTGACACTTCAGCTGCAGATGCTGGTAGCGGTGAAGCAACTGAAATAGTGAAAAACGATGATCAGAAGCTTGATGGCAAGAAGAAGAAAAACAAGAAGCAGGGGAAAGATGATGATGTCGAAGCTAGGCTGGAAAAGGCAGAATTAGCAATAATTAACAAGTTTGAGGCAGCAGAAAAGGTCAATGGAGATGGCAATGAATCAAGAGAGGAAGAACCAAAAAGTCAGAATGATGGTGCTGATGACAGCAGTGGTGCTGTGGAAAAGAAAAGGAAGAAGAAAGATAAATCAGTTGTCGAGACTTCAGAGAAGACTGATACAAGAAGTGCACCTACTGAGGCTGATGGTACCAAGGGAAACAATGGCGTTGTAGAAACAGCTAAGGATGATAATGAGAAAAAGGCAAAAAAGAAGCGGAAGAAGTCTAACCCTGAAGAAAATGTTGAGGTTGAAGGTAAAGAGGCTGCAGGGGAAGATCCAGTCCCAAAACAAGATGATGTGAACAAGAGTGGAATGGATGTTGATGAAGATCATCAAGGAAAGTCGTCAAATGAAAATGCAGTTGCTGGCAAAAAACGGAAACTAGAAGAAGTTGAAGGAAGCGTTGCCCCTGTGACTCCGAAAGAAGATAGCACATCTAACCAAAGTCTAAGCAATGGCTTTGCTGAGGATAAAACAAACGAAGATAGCAACATAAAACCAAGTAAAAGGCAGAAAAAATCATCTGAAGTATGCAGCTTTCTTTCTCTCTAACGATTGGTCCATATGGCTTTTTTTGTTCGCACTTCGTTTCCTGTAGTTTAGTCACCTTAGGAGGTGTTATACATAATTCTTAGATCTTGTTTATACATGATGCTTCATTTGCTACTAGCTTCCTTAGCAACTTGCTTATGCATTATGGTTCAGAAATACCCCCATAATAACTGATTACCGGTCTGTTGTGATGTCCACTAGTGTGAATTAACCTTTGAGGATGTTTAGAAATTCATTACTTTGCTATACCTAATACATTAGATCCACTGACATTCTAATTTGCATGTCATTACTTTGTATAATAGAGATTATGCAGGTAATCCGACCAGTGATGCTGTTGCTGATCTTTATGCTTGGTAGTGCTCATGATAATGATCTTATTAGGTCCATTGGCTCTTTGGATGTACTTCCTCTGTCCCAAATTATAAGACGTTTTGGCGTTTCTAGATTCATAGCTTTTATTATGTATCTAGACATAACATTTATCTAGGTGCGAAGCAAAAGCTATTAATCTAGGAAAGCCAAAACGTCTTATAATTTGGAACGGAGGGAGTACATATTTCGTGATTAATCTTGTAACAAAAGCAGCAGCAGCAGCCTTTTCTGTTCTGAGCAGTTGAAATAGGCATCATTTGTCTGACCAATGTCATCAAAATTGTGATAAATTTCCTTTTTGTTCATCTACTGCAGCCTAAGAGTGTGACTCCTTTTCAACGGATTAAGGTGGATAGTGTCACATTTGCAGATGAAAGGCTTCAGGATAACTCATACTGGGCTAAGGTGCTTTACTGCTTTGTTGATCATGGATGCATATGGTGAAAGATTTTAGCATTTATCAAGCTTAACCTTTTTATGGCCTTTCTGTGTTACCTCTCTTTCAGGGCGGTGCAGACACTGGTTACGGCGCAAAGGCACAGGAGATCCTTGGCCAAGTCAAGGGAAGGTCGGTACTTCTTACTGTTATCAGAAGATTTCTTTCATGAAGAACAATAAGACACTGAGGACGTCTAACAAGCAATTATACCAACAGAGTGGTAAATAATGTCAGCGGTTTATGATCGTGCACAAGCCTAAGACCAGGTCACAACACTTCCATGCTGCAGGGGGTTTAGGCACGAGAAGACCAAGAAGAAGCGTGGAACCTACAGGGGCGGGCAAATCGACCTGCAAACCCACTCGATCAAGTTCGAGAAGTCAGATGACGAGTGATTGCTGAACCTGAGCTTCCTAAAGATGGAAGCCTACAACATTAGCAGATCACCAATTTATATAGCCATTATTACCTGATCAGTCCTGGTACTAAGAAGTGAGGCGACAGAAGGAAGGTGCTACGTGGTACAGCGGGATTAAGATTGTCGCAATATGCCAATTTTGTTAGCAATGAAGGACCTGCAAAATCATTGAAATTTTGTTTGCTGGGCTCGCTGATGTACCGATTTTGCTACTGCTTAGGCTATCTCGAACAACACCACCTAAAATACAAACCTATTCGTCATTTGGGTAGCGTTACAGGCAAAAGGTTTAATACGTATTCGGCATCTTCTCCATCTGCCTGCCCCTGTCCCGTCAAGGTTCGTACCGCCGACGAGCTCCACACCGGCGACCTCCGTGTCACTCCGAGGCTTTGAGCTCCGTGTCGGTGTTAAGCCCCGCGGTCGATGAGCCTTCATTCGTTCAACCAGCAAGCAGATGCTACGCGGAAAACGCATGTTGCAATATTATGTTTTAACTGTTTCAGATGTTTCTGAGGTATGTTGCAAGTGTTGTATATCGATGTTGCAAAAATAGATTGGCATGTTGCATATGTTGTAATAGCTATACACGTAAGTTTTCAATTTTTTTTACAATTTAACCCTTTTTTGAAGAAAATTTACATTTCGCCCTCTAGGAGATTTAAACTCATCTTTGACACTGGGGGTCGGTGCCATGAGTCCTGGCGCTTCGGCGCCACAGATCTTGTCGTCGAGGTGCCTAGCTGTGCATAGTAGAAAATCATAGGTGATGTTGAGGTGGCTGGTACATTGACGCTATAATACATGATGCCGAGCTCGACGTCATAATACATAACGCCGAACTCGGCGCCGTAGATCTTAGCGTCGAGCTTAGCGCCATGTATTATGGCACCGAGCACGTATTTAAAGCGTGTGCCAGTACCTGACCGCATGTCTCCATCACTGCTGTTGTACGCTACCACTAGCCTACTGCTGTGCTCCTACCACTAAGGCCACGTTTAGTTCATCCAAATTCCAGAATTTGGCACTATGCAAAAAGAAGATTCCCCATCACATCAAACTTGCGGTATATGTATGGAGTACTAAATGTTGACGAAATCAAAAACTAATTGCACAGTTTAGTTGTACTTTGCGAGACGAACGTTTTGAGCCTAATTAGTCAACGATTGGACAATTATTACCAAATAAAAACAAAACGCTACAGTGCGCTACAGTGCTACAGGGAATCGGGCGGCGCCGATTCCGCAGGCAACTAAACGCGGCCTAATAGCAGGAGTAGGAGAGCGCGTGAGGCACGGGGGGAGGAGGAGGGCAGCAGCTGGAGACAGCGGCGTAAATGCTAGCATCTGGGCACCGGATTTGTCAATGCCAAACCGTGTCACACTCACACACGGCTTGCTTTGCTAGCAGCTCTAGCCCTATATAGCTTGGCTGCTGCTGCTGAGGGTAGTGCTAGGCTTCGCCACGGCCGGTGATGCTGCTGCGACTAGTCGACTGCTGTCCACTGCTGCTGCAACTTCTGCTTGGAGTAGCGCGCTAGCTCTACAAGGAGTACACTGGTCACCGTTACACATGGCCAACCGGGCCGCACGGCACGGCACTAGCACGAGCACGAGCACGGTCAGACAGGACACGGCTAGGCACGGCACTATGCGGCACGGTGGCTTAACCGTACCGTGCCCAATAGTGCCGCCGTGCCGAGACCTTGGCCCAGGCACGGCCCTATGGGCGGTGAACCGTGCTGTGCCGTGCTGTCGAGCACGGTAGCCTGGCGTGCCCGCGTCGCCGCCTGTGCTCGCCCGCCAGCGTGGGGCCGCGTCGACGCCAGCGCTCGCCCTCGTGGGGCCGCGCCACCTCCTGTGCTCCCTCGCCAGCGTGGTGCCGCGCCGCCGCCACACTCGATGCCGCAGAGAAGGCCGGATCCAGGAGGAGGGGCCGGATCTGGGCCATGGCCGCCGGATCCGCCCGCCGTCGCCTGAGCTCGCCCGCCGGCGTGGGGCCGCGCCACCGCCAGCGCTCGCCCATAGGAGGGTCGCGCATCCGCCTGAGCTCGCCCTCGTCGGGGCCACGCCGCCGTCACACTCGATGCCGTAGAGAAGGCCGGATCCGGGAGGAGGGGGCCGGATCTGGGCCATGGCCGCCAGATCCGCCCGCCGGCGTGGGGCTGCGCCACCGCCAGCGCTCGCCCGCAGGAGGGCCGTTCATCCGCCTGAGCTCGCCCTTGCCGGGGCCGCGTGCTCCTCCATCGCTGTTGCAGATGCGCCGGCGCGCCACCGCCCTGAGGCCCTCGGGGCATGGCCCCGTGACTGCGGGCACCGCGTGCCCCCTCCTGTCTTCGCGTCGGCGGCTCGGCGCTGCTGAGGAAATGAGTGGGGGAGAGAGAGGAGGAAGTTAGGGTTTAGGTGAGGGAGGGATGCTTATATACTGGTATCCAACGGCTCTGGTTCATCTGCTGCTCATCAACGATGAAGAATAAACGGACCATGTCGTGCCGGCCCATTATCCGTGCCGTGCCTGGGCCGGCACTACGGGCCGACATGAAGGCCCAGGCACGGCACTACAACCGGGCCGTGCCAGGCACGGGCACGAAGCGAGCCGAGCCAGGCCGTGCTTCTCAGTGTCGTGCCTGGGCCGGCCCATGGTACTCGGGCCAAATGGCCAAATATAGTCACCGTGGTGCAGCTCTGTTTTTTTTACTCGTCCGCGGGCGCCTACACCTACACGCCTCCTTTTTTCCTTGTTTGGGCACGCACAGCCTACCCAGCCCGGCCAGCTACCCAGTAGTACTACATCTGTACATGTACAGCCTCGCCACAACCTACGCGGCGTTCATGCATGCATGATGCATGCAGCCCCAATGGAGCATATTGGCATGTGCATGCATGCAGCCCCGGATTGGCTTATGCATGCATGCGGCCATGGCTGGCCAGTAGGCAGCAGCCAGTATAGTACATACGTATACGTACTCCGGTCAGCATTGCAGCACTCAAATCGTAAAAGTTCTCACTCCTTAAAAAAACAATCTAGAACAGCTAAGTCAATAACTTTATGTATCGTCAGAGGCATACATGTTAGTTGTATTTTCTATAAATTCAGTTAAATAATCTAAGATATTTAATTTTAATCAGATCTAAATTTGTATTTTTAAATGTACCTTCATCCAAAAAATACAAATTTAGATCTGATTAAAATTAAATATCTTAGATTATTTAACTGAATTTATAGAAAATACTACTAACATGTATGCCTCTGATAAACAGACGATACATAAAAATACAATTCATGGCGAATCAAATAATATTTATTTAGCATAATAAATATTAATATCATTTTTATATAAATCAAGTTAAAACTTAAAAGTTATTGACTTAGCTGTTCTAGATTGTTTGTTTAAGGAGTGAGAACTTTTACAATTTGAGTGCTGAAATGCATGTGACCGGAGTACGTATACGTATGTACTATACTGGCTGCTGCCTGCTGGATGGAAACATGCAGTGCGTGCCCAAACAAGGAAAAAGGAGGCGTGTAGGTGTAGGCGCCCGCGGGCGAGTAAAAAAAACAGGAGCAGCACCACGTTGACCAGTGTACTCCTTGAGAGCTAGCGCGCTACTCCAGGCAGCAGCAGCAGCAGCAGTGGACAGCAGTCGACTAGTCGCACCAGCTGCAGTGGACGCTTAGAATGCATGCTCGGCGTCACAATACGTGGCGTCGAGCTAGTCGTCAAGATCTTCGGTGCCGAACTCGACGCCATGTATTATGACACCGAGGTACAAGACATGTCAATGTCACCTAGAATTCCCTACTATGCATGGCTAGGAACCTCGGTGTCAAGATCTGTGGCGCCGAGACGTGTTACCTCGGCGCCAGGACTCATGGCGTCGACTCCAGGATCCAAAGATGAGTTTAAGTCTCTCAGGGGCCAAATGTAAATTTTCATCTAAAAAGGGTCAAATTGTAAAAAATAAGGCGTATGTTTCACGTGTATGTTCCAAATGTTTTATACTAGTGGAATGCGCGCGCCCTTGCGCGCGTCAGGTAAGTGTATGTGCTGTAAATAGAAAACATGTCTTGGCAATGTTTACAACTGTCTTATCTTCTCTCCATACAACCTCAAAGACAACATGAATCATCCGATCGATATTTCACAATTCATTAAGGCCCAACTACAGACTTAGAGTAAAAGCAAAGTAAATGTGGTCATTATGTGAACCTAAGGTAACAAATGTAGTTGTCTCAACTAATTTCAAAGTTACACATTCATGTACAATTATCATGTGCTAGATTCATGATCCAAAGAGTCCTTAGAGTTTAATCCCATACAAATCCGGACCAACGAAGCGGGGCTGTAGATGTTGGCGTTTTGTTGTTTTTATGCACTTTATTCCTTTGTAAAGGAGCACATATTCAGTACGAAACAAAAGCGAGAGAATGGGGGTTCAGAGGACCAAATGAAGTGGAATCTTTGAAGGGACAGGCATACGCCTTCTTTTTTGTGTGCAAGAGAAACATACCTATTGAAGTGGCACAGATGAAAATTTGGAGCCACACGAGCGCCTAGGATGTGGAAACAAAATGTCAATCAATCTGAAATCAACAGGAAAATGGTTGCGAAACATTAAGTTTGGATCTATCTACTGTAAAAAAATACTTGTTTAAAAAGCACTCCAAATTATAGCGAGAAAAAGTCACAGTTTTGCGAGATAAATGTAGAGCATGATGATTTATTAGCCGTGTCGGGTTTATGGCATGGTGAATGTACACCGCCATTCACGGTAGATGAGCCAATTCATCTTTGTTTGCATCACGGTAACATCTCCAAGTCAAAGCTCGCTGCATGGAGCGTCTGCTGTGAAAGCAGATTTGCTTGTAGATTCGGTTTGGTTAAATGGACGATAAAGCTTTGGTGGTATATATGTTACCTTGAAAATGGCGACATATAAGTTAAATGGTACTGCAATCTCTTTTGCAATTTCATCG